ACTTAACTTAAACTAAACTAAGTACGTACTACTACTACTACTAACTAACTAACTAACTAACTACTACGAACAACAACAAACTAAACTAACTAGTAGTAGAGAGAGAGAGAGAGAGAGAGAGAGAGAGGCACAACAAGATTTCGGTATTTATGGAATAATTGGAAAGATTGGAAAGGAAACTCAACGCTTCTTCGAGACACTGGCAGTCTTCCACCTGCGACCGATGGTCTTTGTGTGCTGGCCCCTGAACCTAAGACCCCAAAAGTGCCTGAACCCACAGTGGTTCCTGCACGATACAACATTAAGAAGCACTCAAAATTAAGAAAAAATGAGTCACATTTTGTAAGTCATGATCATGACTGTGGACACGCAACTTCACAGAAAGAGACACAAACAGAAACTACAAGAGCTTCTGGTATTTGGACAGTCAAGGGGGGTTAAAAGCTTTTGATGGATTTGGTGAATGAAGAAAGGGGACTCAGGGTCTACGCACATAACACAGTACTCAAGAGCAGTGCAGGAAAATCAAACAAGAACAGCAAACCAAACATGGGGCCGGAAGTGTTCAACAAATGAGTAATAAAAAGCAAAAAAGAAAAAGACAAAAAAGGACATGTTCACAATTTTCACTGTGAAGAGAATTACAAGGAACCAAAAATAACAAAAGACAAGACACTGAAGACCATTAAACAACAATTTCATTACACAATAGGTCCATTACGACTCAAGCATTAGGATGATAAAAATGATGGTCCATACATAATGTTGCCCACAGTAAAAAAAGCTTACATTCATGGGACTCCATTTAAATGAATGCTCCAATTGTAGATGGTTACATTAAGATCACAAGACTCAAATGAGTCCCAGAGTTGTTTAGAATGGCAAGTCCATGCACTGATACACATGCTCTTGAAAAGGTTCAGATCTATTACCAATCCAATATCATTAAAACAACAATCATTAGAGCTATTAAGCATTTTAATAGTATTATGAATGGGAAAATATTAAAATCCTATGACCACGAAAAAACCATTGCACATTGGGTCATACCTCCCAATGAAAGCATTGACAGTGATGGACAGGCACTAAAAATTGGGCTCATGTCATGTTTTGGTAGGTCTCACTCTCTCCATATATAATTTAGTAGCTTTAAATTAATTCAACAACCTTATGAACTATTTGTTTTCTATAGGAAAGAGAGCGGGGGGGAGAGGGGGGGTCTTTACTCACTTACTTAGTCTTTGGGTTTGAACACTCTAAGGAGCATAAAAAGATAATTATCTACAATTAATAGAACATGAGCTTGTTAGAACTATCCAAGACACCTTGCAAATAGTAACAATCGCATGATCCCATCAACATGCGACCTTGTACTAAATAAAATAAAATTACATCATGAGTGCCTAGGCACATCATTTAAATACGCATCATCATCATTATTTGAGCTCTATCCCAACTATTTTAGGATCAGCTACACGAATCATGTTCTACTATTCTGCTCTATCAAGGACCATATCCTCAATTAGAGGCTTCCATTTGAACCAAATTGTGGTCATTTAATCCAAAGCAAATCCAAAAAATCTGTATTCAAACAACTTTGCTTATCCATGGAAAGATTCCCTAGAATATATTAAGTATTTAGCCAAATATCATTCATTTATCAGCCATTAAAAGAATTGGGCTATTAGTTTCGAAAAAAATAGGATTGGGGGTAACCAGTACAATGAATTCGAACATAAGAAAGAAGGATCCATAAAACTATGTAGACTATCACCAACTATCATTGCATTTGGAATTTCAAATCCAGTGTGATTTTGATTTACAACATAGTCTATCTAATTAAAGAATCATTACAAAACTAAGAGTCAAATAAGCATTCCCATTTTCAGTAAATAATTGGACAATCAAATGCCAAATGCCTCGAGTCATAGATAATCACCTCAAACTCACCAAATGCCAGAAGGCATATTTGCTCTACAGAAGCAAACAAAGGATTTATAGAGAAATTTTCCCACATATGAGAACCAGAAATGATAAGGAGAGAAAGGGGGGTCGAGAGAGAAGTTGATAAGAAGAGGAGAGAGGGGAAAAAGAAAGGGGCACATCCAGGCAATAAATCCGCATTCACTCAGATCAAGATTCCTCACATGCCTGAAATGTCAAGATAAAGACGGTAGGAGACTATCAAACCTACAAATCCTTCATAAGTCAGAACAAAACAACTTAACAACAAATCAAGTACATGAAGAGTTTCCAGCATTGAATCAAGAAAAGTTGCTCTTCTATTCAATAAGGGGGTCAATCTCCTGACTTGAATGGAGATTGATGGCTCGTTTTGGCTCAAGAAGGTGTCTTTCGCGGCTTGACAGCTCTAATGTGGGATGGAGAGTAGTGAAAGAGGGCTCTGTAAGGCAAGCAGGACTGGTAGAGAACAGGGGAGATGGAGGAAGACATGGAGAGTAGGATGTCAAAGGCACTATGAGTAATAGAGCTTGGCCATGCCAACAAATTCTATTATGAGACAAAGATCATTATGGAAGGAGATGGAGTAACAGAGAACTGAAGGAAGTGCATAAATCAACGATCATTACTCTTTTAGTCCACCCAGGGAGTACTTGAATGGATTAAGAGAATGATGCACTAAAACTTGGGGATGTGGTATAGTTTGTAAGAAGATTCCAGGGAATAAAACTTTATTGATGCCAAGGGAGTTTTCAAGCCGGGATTTTGGAGGTTCAACAGTTCTTTAACATCATAGGAGCGGTAGTCTACAAAATCAAGGCATTTGTATTAACCCCTCAGCTATGTTGGCTAGGGATTGAACGTATTCTAATACATGCTTAAGAAGTTTTTAGAATAATTGTTGCTGAATGTTGAAAATTACTGTAAATGGATTAGAAAACATTGGGCGGCTGTTATCCGAGGCGATTAAGGATCAAGATTCAAAAGTTTACTGTAAAAGAGATAACCAAAGACAGTCCTAAAAGGTGTCACGCGGCTTATTTCAAATCCAAGTAAGGAGACCAGAAGAAAGAAGCTAAACGTGTTTCAAAAACTAAAGATATGGAAGGAATGATGGTGTCCTAGAAGAACAGGGCTAGAGAAAGGTTTCTAGCAAAAGAAGCAGAATGTCCAGCATGGGAGCAATGTTTAAAAGGGTACCCAATGTCATCATTTTTTGTCCCCGCTCTGCTTTTTAAAATATCATCATAATATCAACATTATTTCGATGGCCCAAGAAACCATCTGCATGGAAAGCAGCACTTGTTTGTAAGCTAGATTTTGATATGGTTATTTTTTTATTTGTTGTGTGCTTCGCAAATCCAAATGAAAATGTTTCCGATGTGTTACTTCATTTCTATAGTAGTTTTTCTTATAAGAATTGTTTTAACTTGAACAAAGAAAACAAACTTCTACACCCGCTGCAACTAGAAAAGGAAAAAGAAACAAAGAAAGAAAAGATAATAAAATAGGGAACTTTAGGCAGCTAAAGAAAAGGGGGAAAAGTAGCAAGAAAAGAAGAGATAACAAAATGGGAACGTTTGGGCACTTTCACCATTTCTGCTGCTAAGCAAAAAAATTGTTCTGGCTAGATGCCCAAAATCTGTAACTTTTTCTGGTGCAA